CACACACACACACACACACACACACACACACACACACACACACACATTGAGATGAGACTGAACGTGACTCTTTTCTGCTGAAACTTGATAACCTGCAGAGATTTGTAAGAAGGTGAAGCTGACAGCTTGTCAATATTTCAGTGCACGTGATGCTGCAGCCATGCATGATGGCTCTACCCTGGGGGGTGCGGAGCCAACGAACAGCTGCAGTACTCAGTTTGGTGTTTTTAACGATGCCTGCTAAGAGAAAGCTCATGAGCAGACGTTTCAGACATTTGATTCTTTCTATTGTTTCTATAAATCAAAAGTTGTTAACGTTTCCTTCGGCTGTGTCTGTTTAGTGAATTTATGAAGCTTTTATTTGTGCACGACAGAAAGCCATTTCTTCTGACTGTGCCTTGGAGATGGCATCTTGCTGGGTGCGCTGACAGGCTGCAGCTGCAGGAAATTGAACTGTCAGCTTGAGAACAACCAAAGAAGAGCTAAATATACAGCTGACAGATGTTGTGGACATTGTTCCTCTGTGGTGCACGTTGTTTCGCTCGCTGCTTCTTTGTTTGATGTGCATGTCACTCACAGCTCAGCTCCAGTCTGATGAAGTCCTTCAGGCCCTGGTTCTCCAAGAAGACTCCTGAGGGAGACCCGGTCTTGAAGTAGAAGGAGATGTCAGAGGTCAGCTCCACCTGCAGGCTGGGAAAGTACAGGTAGGAGGACTCCTGGTAGAAGGAGGCGGCGTTCCACAGGGACCCTGGAAGAAACACAACAACAGTAAGGAGGAAACACTTGACATGTTCAGCAGGGAGGATCCAGCAGACATGAATCTGGATGCTGCAGATCTGAACTACACATCTTGATCGGCAGCATTTCATGTAGAGCAGATGTTCTTGACTCTGAAAACAGCTGTGAGGGTTCTTTGTCCAGCTTGTTCCTGGATTTTAAAAAGTGACGAAACTGCTGGTTCTACAGAAAAACTCATGACTCTGGAAGGTTTGAATTTACCTAGATATTACAGTGGTATCTATAGATCTGTTGGGGCACTCAAACGGAAAGAATCAGAATCAGAATAAGCTTTATTCTCATTGTACCGAGATACAATGAGAATATGTCTGTATGGTCTTCCGAAAGATGGGCGGAGCGCACGTAGCTGCTGCTATATAGCGCAGACTTCTTATCCTTTTCAGAATACATTTTTTTAGATAGAAAAAGGGACAAAGCCATGAGGAGAGGATAGTGGCATTACAAAAACAAAACAAAACAATCCCTTCACACCTTGTCCTAACAGGACACGATTAAAGACATAAAATAAACTGCCAGCAGCACATTTATGAACACGTTACATATGCATTTACAACAAGGAAGTCCATGAAGCACTAACAGATAGTCCATTGACCAGATAAGATGATGGTCAGCCTGCACAGTTCTGATAAGCCTCCACAGAAGACTGGGCGGGGGGGGGGGGGGGGGGGGGTGCGATAGACAAAGCTTTTCCTTAGTTTACACATTTCCAAGGAGAAATTGATAAGTCGGCCTCTGGACTTTGCTACGACTTTCCCTTAAAAATTCAACATCTTCACGGCCTACATGTTCATGTATAACGTCTGTTGGAAGAAAAATCACTAGTCAATATTAAACAATAATAATAATCACTCCTTTTTACCAATGGCCTCACATAAAGCAATATGACCATCATCCATCATGTTTATTAGTAGCTTAGAATACCTAATTAAAACTCCAGTAATGGGCTAGGTCTACTGTAACATTACCCAGTTGTAGGGTCAAGAGCCAAACATGTAGCATTAACACAGTATGAACAACATTCAAGAATTATCCTGATGCATGCTCAATATTCCAGGTAGAAAAATCTAAAAAAGTTCAATCTGGTCCACTGGACATTCAAAAAAATAAAACAAAACAAAATTTTTTTAGAAACGATTTGTCTTTCATCCGAAAGATTTCTTCAGTCTGAGGTGCTGTATTCAGCCCAGTCTCTTAAATAGCACCTTCTCAGAGTGGATCAACCAGTTTTGCTGCTGACAACCAGAACCAGCTGATCACATGCTCAAGAAGGACCATCAGCCTAACAATGGATCATTAGCACCTGATGGCTGTTTACTGTTCACAGAGGGCTGAGTGATACTAGCAATCACAGCATTGTAAGAGGGGGACAGTTGAACCTGGAGGCCTCCACCCCTGTTTAATGATGGACGGTTTCTTTTCACAAAGATGGCCTCCTTTACTCCTCTCTCAAACCATCGTTCCTCTCTATCAAGGATGTGAACATCTTCATCCCTGAAAGAGTGACCGCTGGCCTGGACATGAGTGTAGACCTCAGAGTCCTGGCCTGATGATGATCTTCTGTGCTGGAACATTCAGGAATTGTTTCTATAAGAACATTATCAAATATTTTACATGAACCGTAAGATCGCTTCGCCCACCAGGAAATTTAACACAGTTTGAGCTAACCTCGGACAAACTAACAAACAAGATAGCTGTAATGGTGGAGGTAGTGAAGCTCACTGTGTTACCTGAAGCATTTATTTATTTTATTTTATTTAGCCTTTATTTATCCAGGTTAGTCTCATTGAGCCACGAGAACTCATTTGCAAGAGAGACCTGTTTTTTTTATTTTTTTATTTAGTGAGGCATTTTTGTCTTATCAGCCAAAATTAAGGAAAAAAAGAATTCTAAGCTACTAATAATTTAAAATAGTTACTGCAGTAGATGTTTTCATGCCACAGAGTGACACAGGGTAAGAACTCAGAGTGAAATTCAATATGTAAGTGTGTAAATTTCATTCATTCATTCATTATAGTACAGACGCCTGTAGTCTGTATGGTTTACCTAAAATCCACAAACAAGGTGTACCTTTAAGACCAATCGTTAGCATGATTAACTCTGTCACTTACAATGTTTCCAAATATCTGGCGTCTGTACTCATCCCTTTAGTTGGTAGCTCAGAACACCACATACAGAACACCATGGACTTTGTGGATAAGGTGAGGGATGTCATCATGGAGACTGATGAAACAATGGTCTCTTTTGATGTCACATCACTCTTTACGTGCATTCCTGTTGATGATGCAGTAGAGGTGGTCAGTTTAAAATTAAAATCAGACACCACTCTGAGCAGCAGGACCACGCTTTCCACAGAACAACTGTGTCAACTCTTGAAACTGTGCCTGCAGTCAACCTACTTCACATATGGGGAGCAATATTATAGGCAGAAACATGGGTGTGCTATGGGGTCTCCAGTTTCTCCTATTGTTGCCAACCTGTACATGGAGGAGGTAGAAAAGAGAGCC